ACAAGTTTTTTTACCCTATGGAGCAAAGGATGCCTCTGGAGAGGTGGTAGAAAAGGAGGCAAAAGATAAACGAATTTGGGATCTAAACTCAATCATTTAACTCACTCGAAAATGTTACTGCTTAAAATATGCTAGGCATTGTTCTTATAGCACAGTCAAGAGGAAAAAGCCAAAACCACCCAACCTGGTGGATCTTCCCCAAGACTACAATAGTGAGCCAATGAAGGATTTCCGATCAGGAGATACAACTGCGCAGATTTGGGTATAAAGGGGCCTCTATTCTCCCAGGGAATATCTTCACCTCCTAATTTTAGGCAACAATCCAATAGGGCATTTTCACATGAAACTGTGTAAATCCACTCCAGCCTTTAAACTTCTCTCAAACTATTTTTTCATCTTTAGCATGGAAATACTAATGCCTACCCCATAGGCTGCTTTAAAATCAAATGAAAGACGGCAAAGTGAAAGTGCTTTGAAAAACCGAATGCCTATAAGGTATAATTATCGATTGTTTTCTGGCAACCGTGAGCTCAAAAGGAAGAAGCAAACGGCAAACCAAGAAACTTATTTGGGCTGTCAGGATGGAATCTCTAGTCCTAGAACTCACACAAAAAGGAAAGACCACACCAAACCTCTCTGCTCCGGGGACCTTCCGAAACTGAGTGGGGGGCAGAAAGGGAAGCTGCACAGCTGTGTCCCTCCACCCCTATCTCTACACCAGCTAGGTGGACTCCTGCACTAAGGTGCCTCTCCACTTGGGGACGGAAAGAGCGCGTCCCGGCGGGTGCAGCTGCACGCACCTGTGGGACGTGGACCTCCAGCACGGCAGTCTCTGCTCCAGGTCCCGGCTCCTCTGAGAACCGAAAGCTCTGGACCCCGGCCTCATGCCCTCGGAAACCACGTTCGCCTGCACCGGCGTCTGTGGGTTCCGACAGCGCAGACGGCCGCAGAGGATTCCGAGCTGCCAGGCTGCGCGCACGGAATTCTCGGGCGGGCTGGGGGCCGCCGTCTTCCGGTGGCAAGAAGGGAAAAGGCCGCCTCGGGCAACAGAGCAACCTGCTGAAACGCCGCAAGCGGCACAAACGACACAGAACCCCAACCCGGCCGAAGGCTTAGCTCGCAGCCGGAAGTGGCGGGCAAGCCGGAAGCGCGTGAGGTGGGGCGGGGCGGCCGCAGGTGTGACCTTCCCAACATGGCGGCGGCCGGGCGTGACTGAGGGCGGGCCCTGGAGGCGCCCAGACCAATGGCAAACCGCGAGAGGCGCGGGGGCGGGGAAGACGACGGCCGCATGCCCAACCCGGGGCTCGGGAGGTGGCTGAGGAGTGAATTTTCTGGAAGGCGACTTTAAAGGCGCCAGGCCGGAGCGAAGGGCGTTTTGGTGTCGCCGCCGCCCGGGCCTGGGAGGGGGCGCGTTAGTGGGAGGAAGTCAGCTACGCCGAGGTTGCTGCGGAACCAGCTGGTGACCCGGCGGGATGAACCACAAGAGTAAGAAGCGGATCCGCGAGGCCAAGCGGAGTGCGCGGCCGGAGCTCAAAGACTCCCTGGACTGGACGCGGCACAACTATTACGAGAGCTTCTCGCTGAACCCGGCGGCCGTGGTGGTGAGCGGGACCGGGTTGGGGTCGCGGGGCCGGACACGGGCACCTCCAGCTACTGCGCGCCTTGCCCAGGGGGCTGCCTTCCTCCTTGCTCCGAGCGAGGTTCAGCTGCACCCCGCGGAGCTCCGGCTCTCCGAGGCGCGGATTCCAGGGTGGGCCCCCTTCTTTCCTTGGCGCAGCCGCCACCTGCCCGGGTGACTGTAGTCCTTCCTGCTTCTTGTCCTCGGATAGAAGGCCCATCGCCCCTGTGCTTGTCAGGCGGCCGGGCCCTAGAGTACTGGCTGTCAAGGAGAGTGGGAGATGCAAAGTTCCCTCGCCTGATGGTGTGGCTCAGGGTGCGACGTGCCCATAGGCACGCAAGGGCCTTTCCGTACCCCACCCCCACCCCTGGAGGAGCCACAACTAGAATCTGGCTCCTTAGGTATGCCACTGGTAATTGACCTAGGGGGACAATCTTGTCTGCCACCAGACTTTTTCTTTTTTCTTTTTTTATTAACTGGAGTGGTCTTTTCTGATTCCCTCAGGACAACGTGGAACGGGCAGATGCTTTACAGCTGTCTGTGGAAGAATTTGTGGAGCGATATGAAAGGCCTTACAAACCAGTAGTTCTGCTCAATGCCCAAGAGGGCTGGTCTGCACAGGAGAAGTGGACTCTGGAACGCCTAAAAAGGAAATACCGGAACCAGAAGTTCAAGTGTGGTGAGGATAACGATGGCTACTCAGTGAAGATGAAGATGAAATACTACATTGAGTACATGGAGAGTACTCGAGATGACAGTCCCCTTTACATCTTTGATAGCAGCTATGGTGAACACCCCAAAAGAAGGAAACTTTTGGAAGACTACAAGGTGCCCAAGTTTTTCACTGATGACCTTTTCCAATATGCAGGGGAGAAACGGAGGCCCCCTTACAGGTAAAGTATGCTGCAGCTAAGTGGTTAAAATCTTACCTTGAAGGTATTTGTAAGTCAAGTTCAGTACCCTGTCCTTATTTCGAAACAGTGAGTGTTCCCCCTTGGCTACACATTGAATTCCCCTAGGGGACTCCTGATGCCTGCCTGGGTCCTGACAGGAGAGATTGTGATTTAGCTGGTCTGGGTGTCAGAATCCCGGAAAGTTCTCCAGGTGATTTGGTTATGCAACTAAAGTTGGACCACTGATCTATAAGGATAGTTTTAAGAGTTAAAATCCAGCAATAAACCACATCGGTGGATTTTTTTATTGTTAGTGATTAGTTCATACACAATTCACTCAGGGTTTGTGTATACCATAGTTTGTATAGTCACTGAAATGATACACATAAAACTAAAAACTTACTATTTTGTGTTGTACATGCATGTATAATTAAATTACAATTCACATTTTGGGTGTTTCTGTCCTGTAGGTGGTTTGTAATGGGGCCACCACGCTCTGGAACTGGGATTCACATCGACCCACTGGGAACCAGCGCCTGGAATGCTTTAGTTCAGGGCCACAAGCGCTGGTGCCTGTTCCCAACAAGCACTCCCAGGGAGCTCATTAAGGTGACACGTGAAGAAGGAGGGAACCAGCAGGACGAAGCTATTACCTGGTTTAACGTGATTTATCCCCGGACACAGCTTCCAACGTGGCCACCTGAATTCAAACCCTTGGAAATCCTGCAGAAACCAGGAGAGACTGTCTTTGTACCAGGTAGAGATGACCAGGAAGGGAGTATATTCTTTGGTTTCGGTATTTTTTCATTTGGCGCAGAGTGTTACTTATAGAGAGTGAGTCAAAAAAATTCCTTTGCGTGCTGCCTGGCAAATGAACTAACTGGTACCCCCCTCTGACAATACAATAGCTGTGTCTTCAACTGCTGGAGAGCTGCTGATATTTCATATAACTAAAACTATTGACAAGCTTTGTTTATGTGAAGATCCTACTTATCTTTGCCCTTGCTAGTTACTTAGTGTCTTTGCATAAAGTAGTGGCATGTGGGTGTTTATAAATTGGGTTTCTTATACAGTGTAGCACTGATGGGGTCAGAGGGGAAATAATGATTTAGAGATAGGCGACAGTATCATACCCCACATAATCATGCTTTGTAGGTTAAGTGTATGGATGTGGGGTTATTTAAAGTAGATACCCTCGGGCCGGGTGCAGTGGGTCTATGTCTGTAATCCTAGCATTCTGCAGGCTGATGTGGGTAGATTGCCCTGAGCTCATAGGTTCAAGACCAGCCTTAGCAAGAGCGAGATATGGTCTCTAAAAATAGCTGGGCCTTGTGGCGGGCCCTTATACTCCCAGCTACTCACAGGCTAAGGCAAGAGAATCACATGAACCCAAGTGTTTGAGGTTGCTGTGAGTTGACACTGTGGCACTCTACCGAGGGTAACAAAATGAGACTCAGTCTCAAAATAATAATGATAATTAGGTACCCTCCTCCTAGAAGCTAAGAAACTATTTGCCTTGAAGGTTTTGGTCACAGCTTTGGATTAACAGGGATCAGCAAACTTTTTCCATGAAGGGCCGGAGAGTATTTTAGGTACCACGAACCGGACAGTATCTGTTATAACATATTTAACTCTGTCCTTGTAGCAGGAAAGCAGCCCTAGATTACATGTAAGTGGATAGGCAAGGCTGTGCTCCAGTAAAACTTTATTTACACAAATAAGTCATTTGCAATCCTTGGGTCAAGAGATAGGTGTTTACATAAACTGTATCAGATCCCCAAGGCTCACTCTTAGGGATAGGAAGTCCCAGTTTCTGAAGTTTATGTTACAGAGTGATTGTACAAGGACCAAACTCTGTTTAACTGTTTGATTGTTGGGTTTCAGGAGGCTGGTGGCATGTTGTCCTCAATCTTGACACTACTATTGCCATCACGCAGAATTTTGCCAGCAGCACCAACTTCCCTGTTGTATGGCACAAGACGGTAAGAGGGAGACCAAAGTTATCAAGGAAATGGTATAGGTGAGAGGCTTCTTGCTTTTCTTATTTTTACTTTGTTCCAATTTCTACCCCAGAGATAAAATTGAAAGAGTGCCATTGTAATGCTATGTGCTGATTTTAGAGAGATCTGGGAAAACCTGCCAAACCTAATGGGTAGAGGAAAGATGGTCTGAGGTCAGGGCTAGATCTCAGGATGTTGCCAGCCTCGAGGTGGAAGGGTAAGACTCTGCATGCACAGCCACTCACTCAAAACATGGTCATAATTGGGATTGTTTCTCATTTTGTTTTATTTGGTTATTTTTCTTACTTAGAAGTATTCCCATTTGAACTTAACTACCTTCAGTTCTTGTGAGTGAGGTGACTGCCCTGGAGACTTAGCTCCTCTGTTTATCCACAGAACAGATACAGCACGGGCAGCGGCAGTGCAAGCCACCCTCAGCCACCCCGTGCCACTGTGTCCCAACCCTGACCTGGAGGGACCAGCTCTCGGGGTAAGAGAGGGATTCTGGCTTGTTCAGTGCTCAGCCTCCCTGCTGAGAGGGCCAGCAAGGGTGGTGGCTTCTGTTCTCCCTGAACTCTCTTGGGCATTTGAGGCCCACTCACCTGGCCCCATAGGTATTGTGTGCTGATTTGGTCACTCCAAAGGCCTCACCATACCAGGTCTTTGTCACTGGTTATGACAGATGCCAGGTTAAGTTCCTGAAGGGGAGGGCTGCTCTTAAAGTCCAGTTCAGTTTTACCTTCCAAGTGAAGGGGGCTGTCTGTTATTTGACACCTCTTATTTCTTACAAGCCTGATTGTTTCTACTCCTATAGTTAGAATCTAGCCAAACCCAACTCCAATTATGTGCTGGAAAGGAAAGGTTTTTGTTTTTCTTTTTTAATCAGCTAGGAAAAGGAACTATTTCTCCCAAGGGAAAAAGACTAAGCCTAACTCAAGGTAACGGTACGGCTGGCTCATTTGTGCAGGTGTTAGTAATTGCATGTAGCTAGTGTGTTGTTTTCTTGTAGCTAGTGTGTTGTTTTCTTTGCAGAAAACACATGCAGCATAGTGGGGATTTTGTAAACCCCTCAGGGTTTACGTGTCCTAACCACTATATAGTACCCATTCTGAATTGATACACCTGGTATTTCTAGGTGTTTCTAAGAGATACAGGTCTCAACTTTTGTGTGTGAATCCTCGTGTGTGGGTCTGGCTGCCTGTTACCTAACTAAGAGTATTTTTTGCCTCCCAGGATCTTGAAGCAAGAGCACCCTGAGTTGGCAGTTCTGGCAGACTCAGTTGACCTTCAGGAGTCCACGGGCATCGCCTCTGACAGCTCCAGTGACTCCTCCAGCTCCTCCAGCTCCAGCTCATCAGACTCAGACTCAGAGGTGGGGCCCTGCTTGCCTGCTCCTCCATAGGTCCTCCAGAGTACATGTCACCCAAAGCTGGTCATGGTTCTTCCTCTCCATCCAGGAAAGAGGATGTAAATTTTTTCTCACTTCCAAAGACCACAGCTGCCACTGTTCCTGTGAATGGCAAATTTTGCCCATTTTACAGCTTCCTACATAATGAGAATTGTTACTATAACCTTAAGTGGTTTCAGGGGGGTATTTGAGGATTTGGTGAAGTAAATAAATAGCCCCAGGTCACACACCTAGCAAACAGTAGTGTTAGGATCCAAACTCTCAGCCCTCTAACCTCAGAGCTCACACAAGGAATTTTCTCTGTGCATGGTAAACTATAGGCCAGGCCTAGAAACTTAGCAAATCCAGTGACCTGCTTAAAGGCATAGCATTAATACCAGGAAAGAGGGTCCTGTACCTCTCCCAGAAGAAATTTCTATCTCTTAACTTCACATAATATCCTGATTTAGTCTTTTCTCAGGTGAGAGAGGAGTTTTATCTACTCTTTCCAAGCTCTGTGTTAATAGAGTGAAATTTCATAATGCAATTTTAGGATGCTAACTATAAAATATTTTTACAGTGGGTGTCTTGGTTTCAAACAAATAACCTTTCCATTAGAGAATAATGGAGGGATGTTGACATCTAAGGGAAAGCTAAAATTCTTAGGGAGCCAAAAGCACCTGAGGAAGTGGATATTAGACTGTATTGTGGAACTGTCATAAATGATGGCTGTGCTTCTGGGAGAAAGTGAGCAGTGTTTGTGCTGTCTTATAAGGTCAGAGGTTTGTTTAATGAGGAAATGAGTGGCATCCTGGCTGAATTCTTGCTTTGTTTCCCCATGTCCAGTGTGAGTCAGGGTCTGAAGGTGACGGGACCATGCATCGCAGGAAGAAGAGGAGGACGTGCAGCATGGTGGGCAATGGGGACACCACCTCCCAGGACGACTGTGTGAGCAAAGAGCGCAGCTCCTCCAGGTGACCAAGCACAGCTGTTGTCTGTGTAGGAGGACATGCTTCCAGTGAGGGGCAGGGCCCACTGAGGGCAGCCTGTCCGCTCCTGCAGACAACAGGAGGGCTGACAAAAGCCAGAGAATGAGGACGCCCTGGGACCCTGATCCATTCACTTAGCATTTGCTCCAGTAGCTTTCTTTGCTACCAGTGCAGATAGACCTGGTTTGTTTTATGCATAAAGGCAAGAGTATGTGAATGGTGCCAAGAAAACCCTTAACATTATTTAATAAAAATTGAATCCGTTTTATATCTTGGAAATGCTCTTCCTTTGAGAATACCAGAACCTCCCTCGTTGTGCTGCTCTGCGTGGTAGCCTTTGGGGAAAGCAGTGACTCACTCCTGGTGCACATCCACGACAGTGACATAGTTGTTAGAGCAGCACTGGGGGGCTATTAGAAAAGTCCCCTAGCACCTTCTGAAGAAGCCAAGGTGTGGCCTCTGGCTCTTTCTCTGTTTGCCGTTTGCTGCTTTTGCTGATCAGGCCAAATCAGACAATAGCAAAGATCTCTACACTTTTATAAAATCTCAATCAAGCCTCCATGTTTTGCTTTTATTTTTTGAAAGAAGATTCAATCTAAAGAAGTTAAAACTTAAAAATCCGGACACAGTAATGTCTCCCAGTCTCAAAGATGGCAGTGCTGAAGGACAGAAGAGTCTCTGCCACCTGCGGGACTGGCTGCAGAAGCACATGCCTTCATGCTTAGTGGAGCAGCCCCAAAAACCGTGCCACAGGAGGCTCCTGAGCCAGCGCTGCTGCAGTGCTTCTGGCATAATTCCCAGTCTCACACAAAATGGTGCCAAAATTCCAGAAGTTAATTGGGCCAGACTGGGATGTGGTCCTCCCATGACCAAGCAGTCTGTTGGGCTGTAGATGCTGAGGCATTTACACCTGAACAGAAGTGCAAAACACTGAAGGTTGCATTGGGGCTTGTTTTCTATATTGTCAGGAAACCAAGATACGGCTGCATCCCCATGGTCCTCATCACAAAGAAATTTTAGTTGCGACTATGAAGCCTGGAGTCCCTGCCCTCTGTTAACATTGATCCAGCCTTTGTTCTCAGAGATCACACTACACAGGGCATTGACCACCTTGTCATCGCAGCGCTTTTTGAACTAGGAAGTAACTTCATAATCAGGAAGACTGGAACAGCATTCATTTCTAAGTTCAAGATGATTGCCACTTTTTCTGAAAGGATACCCTACATCTTGCCACTTTTTGTGAAAGGACACCCTACTGGACAATGAAGGGGTTCATTGCCCAAAGCCTCCCATGTGCCACAAAGCTTCCAAAAGCTGGCCGTGAAATTCAGACTTACCTCCAAACTAAACAAAAGTCACTGACCATGCATGGCACTTCTTTCTCACACTTAATGGTTCTCCGGTTACGGAACAGCAAAAGTTCCCCAAACTATGGAAAGTAGAAAATGCAGGGAAAAGAAAGGTGACCAGACACTCAACAGACTGTCAGTCTGGAAGGACAACCTCAGAACTATTGCTGATTCAGATACTGAAATAGGAATTTTAAAAACTCCCATTGAGGAAAAAGCTCAAGGCTGCCAATAAAGAAGCAAATTTGTAAAGTGATGCAACAAGAAATCGAGCCAGCCATCAGTGATCAATCACATAACAAACATAGATAGATGATGTATTTTGTGGATTCCGTCCAGTTAATCAAAATAAAAATCAACAAGATAATCTGTTTACAAGCACCTGCCCTTTTCCTGGGCACCTTACAGACTCATGGTGAAGTTTGTTTACTCTCCACATGCATCTAGGGTCTTTAAGTCCCAGAGGTCCCTATTGGATGTGCTAGCTGAAGTGTTGAGAGGTGGAAGATAGTGACATACTAAAGTCTGTAGGCCTCTAAGTCTCTAACTACCTGCAGTCTTTGCTGCGTGATGTTCCTGTTCCGATCTATCTGTGAGTAGCAAGTGTTTAAGAAAATGCATTAGGAAAGTTCAGGACCCACGTTCCTTCTTTTTTTTTTTTTTTTGGCCAGGGCTACATTTGAATCCACCATCTCCGGTATATGGGGCCGGCATCCTACTCCTTTGAGCCATAGGCACCGCGCCCCCCACATTTCTTTCTGTCCTCTGTGGTCAATCTGGAACTCCGCAGGGAAATTAGATGTCTTATTCAAGTGAATTGATCAGAACGTACACTTCTCAGGCCTGGTTGTCCTCTTCACAGCCATACGTAGAGTTCTCTCCTTGCCCTTTAAGATTCTGTTATTACAGACTAGATCTATACTTGATGTGTCAGTCATTTGTAAGAAAAACGTTTTAGAAAAAGCCCTGCCATTACTTGACCTAGGATCCTGTTTTTAACATTGCCATCCAGCTTTGCACCCAGCTGTGCAAAAGCTGGCCGTGAAATTCAGATGGCTGTGCTGTCTACGTGCTGAGTATGGGCAGTTATGCTTCCTTGGCAGGATTAGGGACACTTGTGGAAGCCAGGCTCACCCTTGAGCAAATAAAGAGACTCTCTGAGATGGCTTCAGTGTAAGCTGGTGGCGGCCACCCAACTTGGTTCTTATGTCTTCTGCTGCCACCTTCTCTGCCTTGAATTTGAATGTTCCTTCTCTGGTTCAAGTTCCTATCTCAGCCAAATGCTGTTTTTACTGCTTACTAAGAATAGATATCAAAAACTGTAAAACCTGGTGGCCAGCTCAAACATTGATGCTAACAGTTATGTTGGGTAAGGAAGTTCTATGCTGTCTCCTTGAAAACCACCCTGGTGGACCACAAGGCTGGAGGGTGTGATCCTTTTAGCACCTTGTATGTATTACTTGGCCAAGTTAGCAAGGAGTTCCTACTTTTCACAGAGCTGGCCAGCCTTGGCAAGCAGAGACTCTGAGAGTGGTGAGGGGAGACTTTGATCTGTGTGAGCCGATGACATTTCAGAAGTACTGTAAGTGCCACCCTCTGGTGTGTCACAATTAAATTGTGAGTAGGGCCAAGTTCTAACAGATGGGCGTTCCCTGCTTGTCTGACCTGCAGACATGAAGTGTTACATGCAGGAGATAAATTCGCAGGTGGCATTTATAGTGTTTAGGGTCTGATGATACTTCTAAGTAGTGTGAATATGTGAGGATTGACCAGCAGATTCCATCTCTTATCCTCTTCATTCACCTGCTTGCCTTAATCTGTCCCTAAA